TCTATATTACCTTCAACAATTTATGAATGATATCAAATCGAAATGTTGGTTATAGAGACACTTTGTCTTCACTTCATATTATCATCCAATATCAAATGTGTGACTGATTTGTAATTGGAATTGTGTGATAACTTAATACAAACATAAAGGCGCCCTGTTGTGAAATTAGTACAATAGATGAATGTATAGGACATTGGTCAGGGTATGATCATGCGTTGGTTTTACAAGACACCGGTCCGTTTACGTCCCGCGCTGGTATATAGGATATCGGTCAGGGTATGATCCCGTAGTGGATTTATAGGACACTAGTCTAGGTATGATCCACGGTGGTATACATGACATCTAATGTACTACCCGGGGAGTGTATGACTTGGAAAATTAAGAAGTAAAAAGCATTGAATCAACCTAACCATGCATGTGATTGAATCCTTGTATAATGATTACTTATGATGTGGTTAAGTGATGACTTCCTATGATGTGATATGTGAAATGTGGATGTCGATGATGATGGTTATGTGATGGTTTTCTATGGTGTTTTAGACAATGATTTACCATTAGATGGCGTGATGTTTTGCTTTGTTAGACGGGGTTAAATGGTGATGTAGATATGATGTGATACTTGATGCATACATGTTTATACAGTGAGTTATCAAGAGACTGGGTGATGGTTCTTACGTTGTTAATGTATGAATTCTTTGAGTTTGAGATGATGAATTTGGTATGTCATGTGGTGATGAATGGATGCTTATTTGTCTGAATGAGATATAGCATATCATATGTATCTTGACAGTTAAGTTAAGCGAGTAAGGGCTGAGAGGTGGGTGATGGGAAATTGAATAATCCATATTTTGCCATGATCAATGGAAGGGACAATAAGTCCTTTCGAGCTCTACTCTTAAAGGTAACGGAGAAGAATTAGGGTGTCACATTTTTTTATGGTTAATCAAAATTGGATTAAGCACTAGGGTTGCAAATTGCGAACCCCTTCTCCAAAGTCCAAAGTATAAACCTTACAGATAATAGAAACTACTCAATGAACAAACTGCTAAGAAATAAGATTTAGAAAACCTATCTATGCATCATTACATCAACTGATCAGCATGGTTTGGCAGCTAGTATCCATTTTACTTCATCTTTAATTCTTCCAGCTAGCGTACTGGGGAGGCAAATCACAGCATTGAGTCCTGCAACAACGTTCTTTCCACACATAACTGATGCATAACGACCACCTCAACCTTCCTTCACCTTTTGTCCATGTACCATTATTCCACTGCCTTACTGCCCAGGTTCTATGTTCCTGCCATGAATGAAAGACAGGGATACTGCAAAATCAAGACAGAACGGTGCACAGAATATGCCTACTGTAAGGGAAAATAGAGAACATATGATCCCTTGACTCTTCTCCACCTGGACAGAGAACACACGAACCTTCTCCAGGCAAACCCCAACTTTGCAGCTTATCCTTTGTTACAATCCGATTGAGAACTACAAGCCATAATAACAGACTGTGCTTCGGGCTATATGGTTTACTCCAAACAACCTTGTGTCAATCAACTAAGGGCTGAGGGGATCTAATAGTTTGCCAGACAAGCTTAACAGAGTACTTTGGAAAAATCTTTCCATCCCAAGCAAGTGTATTACCACTATCAGATATATGAGATCTTACTCCAATTCTACTTTTCAAGATTTTTCGCTAGATCCAAGTTCCTCCTGATTGATTTGCTATATCCCATATGGACTTAAGCTTTAATCGATATTTATTTACCCACGCAACCCACAGAGAGCCAGATTCAGCTAGTAGATTCCAGATATGACGAACTAAACAAGCCTGGTTCCATTTTTTGAAATCCCTTATCCCCAAACCTCCTTCATTCTTTGGTAGTGCCACAAAGTTCCAAGCCACCAATGACTTCTTTCTCATACTCGAACCTCTAATACCCCTCAAGAATTGATTGCATATCCTTTCAATATCTTTTAGTATTTGTTGTGGCAGCAAGAACAAGGCCATCCAGTATTGCATGATGCTAGTGATAACAGAAGACACTAATTGCAATCTACCCGCAGAACTAAGTTTCTTTGCTTGCCAAGTTCTTATCCTCTGTGTTATTTTATCAACAAGCACTAAGCAGTCAGCAGATGAAAGTTTACTTGAAATGAGTGGTACCAAGATAACGAACGGGATGACTTCCCAGGGGGATCCAGTAAAGGAGGAAATCCATTGCTTCTCTTCTTCAGAAATTCCACAACAAAATAGTTGACACTTAGCAGGGTTACAATGAAGTCCAGATTGAACATAGAACTATGCTAGCACCCTTTGTATACCAGCCACGCCTCTTATGGATCCATTTGTAAAGCAAAAATGGGTGATCTCTAGTGTTTTACAACGTGGATGATACGGAACTTGATTATCAACAGCTGCTCTGTGTATTAGACATGAGAAATACTCCATTGCCACTATGAACATATATGGAGAGAGGGGATCTCCTTGTCTGAGACCCTTCCCAGCAGAAAAGTAACCACACAGGCCTCCATTAAAAGAGACACTGAGCTTAGGAGTGGTAACACATGCCTCTATAAGTTTAACATAAGATTATGGGAATCCCATAGCTAGGAGCATGTTAAACAGGCTAGACCAATTTGTAGAGTCAAAAGCTTTCATTAGATCAATTTTTAGGACACATCTCGATGTAGTATTTTTCTTATGATAATCCTTTACTAGCTCACTAGCCATCAAAATATTGTCACTGATTAGCTCGCTATTGGTCTGTTTGTTACTATTGGGTATTTGGTTTTTGCATTGATGGTAATGCTTTTTGCGACGGTTTTAAACCCCTGCTATGGGTCATTATGGCCCAACAATTAACTGCACTCCTGAATTCCCGAAAAGCTAGATTTAACGATGGATTTAGCTACCTGTAGAAAAACGTCGCTAAAACATACAAAAATTAACCTGCTGGTTCTTTTCAATTTTTTATGAACTGTACCCTTAGAATTCGACAATACCAATTATCCACGCCACAAGTTAACAAATTTTCTCACAGTACACATTACTCATACAATGAATTATCAAAAGGAAATTGAACAAAATATAAACTCAACAATCAACAGCTTACAACCAAAAGAATAATGTCAAACTTGAACACATATTAAGTTTCAGCAAAAGAACCATAATATCAAACTTGGCTTTCTTCTGAATCACCCACATCATATAATGTAATGCTTTCTTCTGAAATTCATCTTAGCCTATTACACGTCCAACCAAACAAATAAAAGCAAATCTTTAGTTTGATTAGTTAACATAGAAGAAAATCTCATAAACAATCAGCCACAAATGTCATCAAGATAACATATATTGTGCAAGAAAGAATCTTGGAAAATTGAATAAGAAAAAGGACACAATTCCACCGAAATCAGAATTCACACAAACAATGCAGTTAAAAGCGCAATTCTACCTAGAAGCGGGAAATGGATAAAATCGTAAAACGTAGAATCTAAGTGTAAAAGCGTAAGTTTTTTATGCACCCTCTAAAATAGCTAAAATATGTTAAGTACAACATATAGTATGTAAAATGTGAGTGTGTAGATTTTAGATAAGTGAATAACTACATTAAATTCATAATTAAAAAATAATATCTAACACATAAACTATTTTGTGTTGACTCAAAAGTAGAGAAAACTCATAACATCTTAATAATAAGCTCATAAACGTAGATCGTAACCCATAAACGAACTTGAGAATCCAAATTCTCATAAGCTGGTTTGAGTTTACATAATTACATACAATCAATTACCGATAAACTTTTATCGTAACCCAGGTAAGAGCCACATGTGAAGATTAAGAGAGAAGACTGATAGAAGGTCAGTGACTGTTGAGAATACCATTAGGTGTCTTTTCAACCTAATGTGAAGCCCCTATCTCGACACTAGTTGTAGAACGAGTGATGAATCATGTTTTTCTTTTTTAATTTTTTGTTGATATGTCTCCAAAATTACATCATTTTGGGCCAATTAGCACATTTTTATGAGATTATCAAAATCTTATAAAAACGCTTTCAGAATCGTGATTTTACCGATTTTAAGCAATTTTACCAATTTTACCCATGTTTTTACTAGTTTTTGTGACTAAGCGACTTAACGTATAAACTTAAACGTTTTGGTGGCCTATGTTTTTACATTTTAATGCGCGATTTTGAGTGCACTGCACACAAGTAAAATTAATGGGTACCATTTCAAAGAAGCTTGTGACCAACATGCTTTTCATTCTTTGTCTATCCATTAAAGGCAATGATTGTTCCTGGAGAATGGGTATATGATGGAAATTCAACAGATATCATAACAAAACAATGCTTAGGAATTTACCAAGTATAGGTACAAATCTGGAAGATAGGTACATATTTTACTACTTATGCGATACTTTCAATATTTAGATCCAAGTATAGAAGAAGCATAGTCTAAGAAACTGCCATTAAAAAGATTCAAGAGTCTAAGGTGGTTAAGACATGTCAAACAATTAGTATATCAGCAGCTTCAACTCTACTTATCAGCTTCCCTATTTCATGGAACTCATCCTCAACTTTCACAATATGTTGACCAATCCCATTCACAAAAGAGTTAACATAAAGTTGAAATTCTTGAGCTTCCAAATTTTAAATCAAAGCTTCATTGATCTGAATGATGCAACTGATCTGCAAACCATCTTGTGCTTCCTAAAAGGATCCTAAGAATAAAGTTTACTCTCAAGTACAAGTGACGTGTCACCTTCCTGATCTTCTGATCTTCATGACCAAACATAATTGATGGGTCCGATGAGTTGGTCACATCATAAACATTCACCAAAACTGTTTGATTCCTAGCTAGTTTTCCATGCAAGTTCTCAACTAGGAACTCCACATTAAATGAACCCCCAAGATATTTGTTTTCATCAATCAGCTATGCACATATTTAGTACATCACTAACCCAAATGTGAAAGTAGCTCCGATACACAGGTCACTGTAAGCAATTACCCTGCAGTTGCTTCAATTCGTTGTTGTATTGTGGAAGATGAAGGAAGCTTGGACTTGTAAACTGGGAATGTAAACACTACACCGAGATGATGGGAGCCAAGTAGTCTGAAAGGCTCTGTAATTGCAGCTTTCCCTATAGACTGAGCTCGCAATATGTTTTCTTTATCCTCCTGCATAATAGTTTGGAAGCATACAAGCATTAAGAACTTCCTGCCAAAACAATTGAGTGCAGATGGAAAACAACTCAACCAAAAAGGTGAAATGCTAAGCTAATTTTTCCCTCTCCAGACAACAAGTCAATGACCGTTCAAATGTTGTTCTGGCAGTGTACTCAGCAAACGTGTCCTGGTGTGAAATTTACAGAAATATCAAGCAAATGTCTTTGAGGGTGGGAGCAAAAAAACATTTATAATAGAACACAATCTAATTAAAGAAAGACCGAACCTGGTCAATGGTAGAAGGGTTCTTGAAGTAATGGAAAGTGGAAACAATGATGGCAAGGGCTTGGACATGGTTCACGCTAGCAATGAACTGATCTTGCAACATTCTGGCCCTTCGGTCGCACATGCTCTACAGCAGTTCTTTCCCCGTCACTCTGCCATCATCGTCCATGTAACTGAAAAGCCACATAGCAATGCCACAAGTCACCATGACCCAACCCACCCATGCCTTGGGGATCCAATCCATGTATGCCTGTCTTGGAGCCTATTTGCTACTCATATTCTTGTAGCAAGTGCTGGTTATGGAACTGTCGGCCCCCTTTAAATTATATAGGAACACATATCCCAGAAAGTTGTGGGTAACGATAACCTAGAAAATTTAAAAATGAGGGATAAACTAAAAATGGGCATAAGGAAATATGAAACCTTTCGATAAACACCATCCTACAACTGCCGAAATTTTTTAAAATGAGGGAGCTGAAAGCAACAATGGAGAGTGATGGACTCAAGCAAGTTCACAAATCCAAAATACTGGAGAAAATTACTTTCTACTTAGCTCTCTGTTGTAACTCATTATATTTATATATTATATCATGAACCACTGCCACACGCTAAAAAATAAGCCATGTAACTGAAGTTAAGTCAATGCATGTACCTCTATTTCAATGACTCATTGGAGACCAGATTCCAACTCTCTTTCAAGTTGATGAAGTTCTCGGGTGGTCAGTCCATTTAGATCATTCCCCCTCAGTTGCCTGCCATAATATATTTGTTTAACACATTTAAGCGACTTCACTACATGCCTATTAGCTTGTCCTCATTATGCCTAGCTACATATACAGATACCTTAGCTTACAGTTAATCAATTTTAATTCTTCAGGTTGACATTAACTAAGAATGGGTGAATATGTATATGGTGCAGTATCTATTAGAGGAGGTTAATCTCTTTATGTAGTTAAATTCATATCCTATTACTGATTAGTTGAAACTAAAACCTCTTAGTGGATATGTATATTGAACATTGCAAGCATATAGATGATAGTATTGAAATGGCAGCATCCACTACATATTTTAGACAGATAATAAACAACTACTAGCTATTGTCCTTTGGGTTTAAATCTTGGGAGTCAAACAACGGTGACCTTGCTGTCGAGACCACATTCCTAATAGTGTCCTTTACTAGCAAATGAGGGCCCTCGTCTCCCTTTTTCTTATCAATAAACTCAAAAATTGAAGTCATCAAGTACACTTATGTAGAGTCCCATTGCTAAAGAAAGTTGAAGCAAGCAGATGATGCGATTTGGGTGTCATTTAACCTCCCATGAGTAGTGAAGCTCGCTCATAGTATGGACAACGTGAGAAAATGAGGGTGGCGAGCATTGGGCTATCGATAAGATATATGATGTACAATCAATTAGAGCTGCAACGCTCGAAGCATGAGTCGAAACAAATAGCGAGAGAAAATCAGTTGAGTAGAATGTTAGAGGAAATGTCGCTTGAATTGAGGCGACAACGAAAATTGTCCCATGATCGCAGGTGCCACTGCTTCTGACTATCATAGAGGCGGCAGAGAAAACGCACAAGCCGGTGGAGAGATCGAAGGCCGCGAGGAAGAGTTGAGGCGATTTTTAGGGTTAGGGATTTGTTTACGGGAGAGCAGAGCAGAAGAGGCTAGAATAATTTTCGTTTTTGTTTTTTTAGAGACGAGCAACTTTTAACTGGTTTTTTAACATTGAAAATATGCAGCGATTTCTTTAGCCGCTAGATATGACTGGTGTTAAACAACAAAATTATAATTGCGGCAAGGATTATAGGAACCCCTGCTACTAAATCCCTGCTATATGTATGCTCCCTTGTAGTGAAAACTTACTTGGTTTTTGTTTAACCACTAACCATTGTGGTAGTGTTTATGATTAGCATATTTAGCCCTTCCTGGTTGTCATTAATTGCATAATGTAGTGCAGTTAACCACATGAACACTAACGTGGTCTAGTTAACCACTAACCTCTGGAGTGATGCTTGTGAGTAACATATTTAGCAATTTGTGATTGTGGTTAATCAAACACTATATTCTGGCAATACATGAATTATGACAACTCCATCTACAATATACATTATACTTGTGTAGATTCGGTACTTGTGGCGAGTGGGTTAGTCACTAATGTTGATGGTGGATGCTTGGTTATATAAAAAATCCTAGTGTAGAATATTATTGTTCTAGTTGATGGCTTTTGACGTTGCCTATTTCATTAGGGTGTTCACAGTACTAGAGCGGACAATTTTTCCAATTTCACAAGGTTTCAAAATTTTATGTTTAGAGGTGGTCATCCCATAGGCTCTATATAGCTCACAATCATGCATTGTTGAGAAGTATGTTAATGATTGTGTAATACCCGAAACATTGACACTCTGAGGGTACTATTTTCACATAATGGGATATTTATAACTTTTCACCTTTTTATCAATATAGTTAGTTTTAGGCTCAATTTTATTTTTAGGTGCATCATGGTGACTATTTATAAGGTCACTTATCTTTGTACTGCTTCACTCAGAGCACATTTAACTTCATAATTCTTACACCAACTCCTTCATTTCGTCCCAAAATGTATCTTGTCAATTAATGTTAAATTGTACCTTATATTTCATGGAAGTCTATCGTACTTTTATAAATGTCTATATAATGTGTTAGAAACCTAACTTAATACTATTATTATAATTTATTAGTTAGGGTTGGGCGGCCATTTAATGCCGAGTAGATTAGGCCATTAGGGTATTATTAGGGTTTTCGGGTTATGAAAGTATTTCTCTCAAAATCCTAATCTCTCTTCTCTCGAATTCGTTACTGATCCCTAACAACCGAAGACCATTCTTCTCCTCGATCTCCAATTCTTCTTTTAAATCTTTAAATCCCCAATTCTATTCTTTTAAATCTCAATCCCTAATACTATTCGAAATCCTAAAGAACCGTAATTCTTTCATAATCTTTGAAAAATATCTTCCCGCATAAGAAAGAAAAGACTTCATAGCATTGAGATATGATTATACACTGAAGCCGAATACTTTAAGGGATGGCTTGAATTCATATTGGCTCTTTCATTATGAAACTATGATTAGATAAACCAATATGAGATTTGTTTAAAGTGTTACACTTCTTTTCGCCCTATTTCTTTGAAGAATGAAAAATTTCCTTGGAGCTCTTATATATGGAGTATACAATCTAAGATGAACATGCAAAAAAATTCACATCACACCACCACGTAGAGCTTCTCGAAGGTTCAGTTGATCATCAGAGATATTATTATCTCTCTGATTAATCAAAAGCACCAGATTGGAGTAGGGCACCAGAAAGATGAAGGACACGACAGAAAGGAAAGTACTGTTAGCGGAAATGATGAACATATGATCGCATGCACTGATCATCAGTGGGTTGTGGGGTTTGGTAATTGATCATGACCTACCAATTATCTATCTATGGCTGCACTCTTTCCACACCCTAGCAGCTAGCTCCCACCAAGTCTTCCAGATGTCGTTCAACTATCGATCGCTAGCAGATTAACTGATGATAATTATCCCTTAATTACCATGGGTTATCCTCTAATCCTCCCGGAAGATCGATCACTGCATTAGTTGGTATGCAACACGTGTTACCCTCCATATTACGTGAAACAATCCCATCTTTTCCACTGACCCAAAAGTCATGCTGCAGAATTGACCCTGCTGCTCAACAAACACATAGATGTCACGATTAACAGGGTTACCGCTCCTTCGCAGGGAGAAATTACTTCTTTTTTCGTCTTAATTACGTACGTGAATCAGTCGTATCCGTGATCAACCTAGCTAGCTAGTTTAATTTGCGTATGTATTTGCTTGATTTTTATTTTATATATATAGGTGGCTACTTTGGTGCACTCACTTTTTTGGGTGCATTCAATGAACCCTACTCTAAAGGTGGTCATAATACGTCAAATTTTGAACTTTAATGGGGTAGCATTAGTCTAATATGATGATATAACGCATAATCACAACTAATCAATCAATTACCCTAACCTATTAACCTTCAATTTTGCATCCCAACCTAAAATCCCAAATTGTAAACCCTAACCCTAAATTTCTAAGCTCTAAACCATTCAAATTAAAGTGAATCTTGAATGACTTTTTTACAAATTCATGTGGTTCTTATTCACCATACCACAAATGATGATTGACATCGTTTCCACATGAATCGCCTACTCAAAATGGAGATTATGAGATGGGTACATTGAATGCACCCAAAAGCGGGTGTACTTTTGTCTGCACTCTGATGTTTGGTGCTAAAGTAATCGATGTCTCGTCTCGTTTATGGCCTATGGGGCAGTAGCAGTAGTAGGTTAAAGGAAGAAGGGTCCATGCATGCATGCATAGGCTGATATGAAGCTCTGGCGCGCCACGTGGAATAGTTGAGAACACTCAAAGTGGGATCATGGCCCCATTTAGGTACGTAGCTCTGGCCATGGAGACGAGACGAGACGACAGGTTGCATTTGTCTGCTCCTTTATTGGGTTAGTACTGCGAAGATTGCTGATTATGGGAATTGAGGTACAGGAGATAGCCATCTGTAACTTCTCTTTGCAGATTCTAGATCCCTCCCTTTTTTGTTTCTGCGCAATGATCGATGGGTTTCATGATAGCTAGGGAGATATGTTTTTTTTTTTTTGGCTCTATAGAGTACTTTCATGCATTCCTTTTGGCCCTTATTAGTGATATTGTTGCACCAGTAATGATCAAAATGAATCATGGAAACTATATATTTGTCCAAAACAAATAATAACGGAAAACATATATTGGTGTCTTTGTATTAATGATGATGATAATGATCTACAAGTGGACTTTGAAAATTTTATGCATGTAATGAATTAATGATGAGACTTTTAGGGGCAATCGATCTGAGGTAGCTAGCTCTGCAGACATTTTTCAAATAGATGGATAGAGAGGTTAGAAGTGGGGCAGTACTTGTTGGTGTGTTTGTTTTTGTCTTTATTCTTATGACAGCTTCAAAGTTGAGATTCTATAGATCGATCTGTGTACTACTTTGGCCAATTTTTCAATAATATTTCATTCATCAGAAGAAGAAAAAAAAAGGAGGGCTAATTTACTGATCGACATGTTGGAACGCGACCTTTTTCTGTGATAGCAAGCTAGCTAGGTCTTGCTACCCATATACCCGTTAGTCGGTCCATACTTCATATATACCTGAAAAACTTATGGGATTAAACACTAAGAAATGTTTTGTGATAATTGAACTCAAGGGAGTACAATATCTCAATCCTTGTGTTTTACAACTTGAATAGGCCAGTGACGAATTGGATTAAATAGTTTTGTTATATTGTGTGTTCATTCATTTTGGAAATTCACAATTGGAATTACTCATACCGTTGAAAAATGTTAAAGAAAACAATATATGTCATTTTCTTATGCCCTCTACATCATAGAGCCAACTAGGACTAAAAGTATACATTTTTTCTGCAATACCGTGTGCTTAAATGTAAGCAACTAGTAAAACATTAGGGTTGCTAGTTAGAATAAGAGACGGAGCCAGAACTTGAGTCATGGCGGGCCGAATTTTTTTTTATGCTGGAGTTACTTATAATGTACCATCACATAAATACAAATTAATATAAAAATTAATATTTATTATTCTAGTGTCCCAAGACATTGTTTAAGATAATCAAAATCACTCTAAAAAATAAATATTACTATAATATATTCAAAAAATAAGTAAAATATGAAAATAATTAATAATATATTTTAATATGCAATATTTAATTGGCAAAATACACATGCGTAGCCAAAATTTTGACGGTTTGGCCAAATATAGCCACGTTTGGCGAAATATCAAAAATAGCCAGTACCGTCCAATTGTTTGACAGTTTTAGTTAACGTGCTGACTGGACTAACGAAAAAGCTGACATGTCAACCTTTTAGTCAATAAAAATATGAGGTGAAATTAAAGAAAAATGAAATAATTAAATATTTTAATTTTCTCTCTCTCCCTCTCGGTTCTTTCCCCTTCCATTCCCCAACCGCAGTTAATCTTCATCGCGCTCTCCCTCTCTCCACAAAAAATCTCCCTCTTCGTGACTACCCCTCCACGCCGCCGACCCCTAGTCCCTCCTTCGATTCTATACATAAATGGTACGACTATCAGTACCAATTTCTTCCAAAGAGGCCAGTGGAGGAGACGGAACAGAGCATCCGCGTCATTGCCGAGCACTAGATCGAGAATCTCAAAGTCGAGGAGGAGGAGTCGGTGGTTGAGGAGGCGGAGGAGACGACGACCGCGACGGCGCTGACGACGGCTGCGCAGATCCCGCCGCCTCGCATCGTGGAGACGCTGGCCCGGAAGAAATTAGAGAGGACCAACACAGGCACGATTCAATAGGGGAGATTCTAGGGTTGAATTGAGTTTTTGAATTGGCATTTTTGCAGAGGAATCATAAGGTGGCTCGGTTTCCGGAGAAAGATGGGAGAGAGCTGAGTGAGAATCTCTGTCGGCGTTTGCGATCTTTCTTTATGTGGGATGCGATTCTAAAGGTTGATTCGAAGTCGTGGATGGTCATATTGGTCTGGAAATTGTTGGATATGATTTTGCTGATGGGAGGGTAGGAGGATTGTTGAGCAGGGGAAAGCAAGGGCCTTCATTGGGTAGAAAATGGATTGGGTCAAGCTGGATGGAGGGAGAAGCCGCTGCCGTCGGAGATATGTGAAGATTCATAGTATGTTGTGGATAAGGACGTGAACTTGGGCTAGGTATTGGAGGGAAGAAGTGTGGAGGTTTTGAAATTGAATAGGTCCAAGATTGATTTCTAGGTTGGATGGAGATGATGGTGGGATCACGGCAGTTGTAGTGATGTTGGTGATAAGGCAGGGGAGTATGTGGTGGCAGGTAAATAGTTTTTTTTATTTTTTTTAGTTTTCATAAATAAATAAAAATTAGTTCAGATAAAAAAAGACTATTTGAAAAAAATTATGTTTTTTATCCACTTGAAATTCTTAAAAGATAAATCAACATGATGTGGCAATGATAGTGATGACTTGTCGCTGACATGTGTGATAATTTGGCATCCTAGTCAGCCTAACGTTAACTTAACTTATGGTTCTTCTAAGACTGTAAAAGTTTGTAACAAAAATGGTTATATATGTCATGAAACTTTCAAAATTCTGACTATTATTGGTATTTTGTCACAAACGTCAAAGTTTTGGCTACATAGATCAATTTTGCCTATTATTTTATCAATGGTATTTATATATTTCATCAGAAAATAGCCAAAAAGGCAATATAATCCTCAGCCAACAAGGAAGCAGCAGCTATATACCTACCTACTGAAACTCAAAGAAATTAAAAAAAAAATCAATTGATGCAATCATGATCTCCAAAACTGGGCATACAGTGCTTCCCCATCATCGTCACAACCTCACTTTTAATTTGAGAGAGGAGCCAAGGAGTGCCTCTTCCAACCCCTTCAAAAACAATCTTGTATCTCTCTCCATATCCAGCTGACCATAAAGCACCAAACCACCTTTCTAACTCAAACATGCTCCAACCAACTTACCCTTGAAACTGCAGACAACCATACGAAGCCCCCTCTCCCAGGTCTGACCTAGAACGTGTCCATACTTATGAGAAAACAGAGAGTAAACAGCTGGCCGTAGAAGGGACACACAAGTAAAAATATGATCCCTAGTCTCCAAACCCTGCCAGCACAAAACGCAACTGAGAGCACCTGAGTATCCCCACTTTTGCATTTTATCACGAGTCTGCACCCTATTTTGAACTACAAGCCAGACCAAAAACCTATTTCTAAGGATATTTTGGCCTTTCTGAAGAAGCCAAAATATGGAAACCTTCTGCCTACTCGGCCGAAGTTCGCCCCAAACCTGATTTATACCATATTTTTGCATCCCTTAACCACTGACCAGACAATTCTTCACTTGTTCCCTCAGCCTCATCATTTTGTGCCAGTTCCAGGAACCTACAGAACCTTCCATTAACCAGATGTGCCCCTCCTTGATACGAAATTCCTTGAGCCACGCCACCCATAGCGATCAATGTTGTAGATAGATCATCCAGAGATATCGTGCAATGCACGCTTTATTCCATGAAACCAAGTCACGCACTCCAAGTCTGCCTTCAACTTTTGGATAAGCAAGATTCTGCCAAGCCATAACTGCCCTCGGTCGTACACCATTATGGACGCCCCACAGAAAATCACTACAATGTTTCTCAAATTCCTTGATAACAGCCTTGGGAAGAATAAAAAATGACAACCAAAACTGGGATATACTATAGATAATTGAAGAGATCGGCTCAAGCCTCCCTGCATAGCTCAAACCCTTAACCTACCAACCAGAATTGCTTGTTGTGATCTTATCAATAAGCAGCTTGCAAGACTTAACAGTCAACTTACCCGCAATCAAGGGAAACCCAAATACCTGGCTGGCAGCTTACCCAACCTATAGCTTGCCTTGACCGTCATTCTCTCTTGTAGCTCCTTAGACAACCCCCCACAAAAGATTTCACAATTCCCTGTATTTGCTTTAAGCCTAGACAACTGATAGAACCTATCTAGCACATTTTGCACACACTGAACTCCAAAATTCGACCCATCAATAAAAAATACGAAGGTCATTTGCGAAACACGAGTAAAGTGAAACCTCTTACACATTGGATGATAAGAAAGAGAATTCTGAGCAACAGCTGAATCAAGGAGCCGAGAGAGAATCTCCATCAAAATAGCAAACATATAAGGAGACAGGGGGTCCCCCTTGTATTTTTTCGTTGAATCAGTTTCCCCTCTTATTTAAAAATAGAGATGATAGAACGAAGCAGGGAAGACCCCAATGAAGGATCACCCTGGAAGGACAGTCTAAAAAAAACCCACTATCAACAACTATCTACTACTCTCATCATCTACCCCCTTATATGTATAAGACCAATACTAGCACAATGAGCTAACAAAATTGGAAATGCACCCACAACAAAGTTCACATCATTTAACCATAAGCCGCTAACAACTTCATCCTCTCTTTGACTCTCTCCACGGCTTTTTCGACACCTCTCCTACCAAATAAAAGTTATTAAAGAATACCAGATTAATCCTATCATTCGACCCACACAGTGTTTCTAGTTTTGTCCCTGCCTCTGCTATCCGAGAATCCCAAGAGCTGCTGCCAAGCCGTAAACCAACTTTTGCTATTAAGTATTGTGTGAAACCACAATCAAAGAAGAGGTGCTCTCTCGTCTCAGTGCAAACACCACACAAAAAACACAATTCATCCTACACTCTTCCCTATTTCATTAACTTGACCTTTGTGACCATGACATCCATCATAAAGATCCAAGTAATATAACTCCATCTAGGCACATGATGCTTCACCATAGAAGTTTTGACCAGCTAACTTTGCTACTCAAAAGACGCAAAGTACTCCAGACCTCACGAACAGAGTAAGAAATCAACTTCCTACCCTTCCATGTGCCAACTCCATCCTGCACACCCATATAGGCTGGGAATGAGGACGAAGCTTTAGAATCCGTCGCCAAACCCAGTGACTAGAGGGAGATATCTTCATGTTCCAGAGATCCCCCACTTTGCACAGGTAAGCATACATCCAAGCCACCCACAGAGCACATGAACGCACCATGAGGAGCTAGAGCATCCTGGCAATGCATGCTCTCTTTCAGGTAATCAAGTCACGTACGCCCAGGCCACCCTCCTTTCTTGGACGAGCAAGTCTCTCCCAAGCCACCTTGGCTCGACTTAGGGGTGGGCATCCTGTTTAATAAACCCGAACCGAATCAGACCGAATCTTAAGCAAACCAAACCAAAACCAAACTTATTTATACGCTTCGAAATTCGGAACGAAATTGTGAGTAATTCGGAAATTAGGTTCTTCCAACCAAACCGAGATTCCGAATTCCGAACCGAAGTTCCGAAATTGACCCACAACAACTCAAATGAACCCTAACCCCACTGTTATTATAAATAAATAAAAAATCCAAAGCCCACTGTATATCCCACAGCCCACAATGCATAGGGAAACCCTAGCCCAACTTAAATAAACCTTCGCTTAAGGACCCCTCCCAAATGAAAACCCCATAGCGGTTGTAGCCGCCACCACACCCATCAAAGTGATGACTCACATCCCTTGCCTTTCGGCTCTCCGACGACAGATGCCATCAAATCAACCATCCCCTCTACCCTCTTCTCCTTCACACTATCCCACCTCCTTCACTGCCGGGAAACCCTAAAAAAACCCTAATGGAAGAAGAAGCAAGAATAATAGGCAAAAAATAGAAATCGGAATCCAGAGGCAACATGCTAAAATCAGAATCAAAGAGGGAGCTGGTGGTGGACTCACTTCGTCAATTGCCATCTAAATCTGCTCGCTCTCCGTCAATCCCCATCGCCGCCTGCGCTGAGTTGTTCTCACCATCCCCACCTACCCCTGAGTTCTCTCCGCCATCAACGCCTACTCTGAGTTGTTCTCACCATCACAGTACGTTGCCGCCGAGTCTAGAGACCAAGAGAGGGGAGGAGAAATCGCCGCTGCATATTGTGCTTTGAGGAGAGAGAAACAGAGAGGTAAAGAGAGAGATAAGGTAAGTGGTTGGACTAGGGAAGAGAGTTTCACGTGAAACAAAAAAGTGGGGAAGAGTTGCTTTATGTGACCTCGGGTATGGTCTTGAATCCGAACCGGATATATTTTAGTTCGGATGAGCCGAACCGAAATATATTTGGTTCAAATTTGGTTTTCTTTGTGACCTACTTTGGGGACCCGGTAATTGCCTATTCGGTTCGGTTCAAACTGAATCGACCAAATGTTCATCCCTAGCTCGACCCGTATCTTCCCCATGCTAGAGAAAATCGGAACAAGCCTTCTGCAGCTTATGAAGAAACTTTTTGAGAGCAGCAAGTGTTGGAACCAATATTGAACCACTCACATTAAGACCGTGGACACAACTTGAATTCTCTCGACATAAATCAATTTCATTGCTCGTCAGGAATGAATTCGCTTAGTCAACTTCTCGAGCAACGCCACACAATCAGTATCCTTCAGTTTTCCAGAGAGAAACGGTAGCCCCAGATATCGAAGAGGTAAAGAACCCTCATTGAAACAAAAAATAGCCAGAGGCAATCTCCTTATACTTCACATCTTCACCACCAAAATGCACCTCGCACTTCTCCGTATTACATTTCATTCCCGAGAACTTACAGCAAGTCCTTAACTTTCAGCAGAGATTGGCCAGAACCTATAGTAAAAATGAGTAAATCATCTGCAAAGCACAAATAATTATAGCAAACTTCTTGTAGAGAGGATGAAATGACAGGAGGTTCACTGTTGTTGCTTGATTGAATAATCCAGAAAGGCCTTCCATAGCAATACATAAAATATATGGTAACAAGGGGTCACCCTGTCAAACCCCTTTGTGAGCCTTAAAGAACCCACAAAGACCTCCATTCAGACTGATACTGAAGTGAGTAGTGGAGGTCCCCTGTCTTAATCCTTATTTTTATAAATAAGTAAAATGTATATCAACATTATTGTTTAAAAAAAATTTATAAGAACAATTAACCTTAAACATAAGGATTTAAAAATTTGAAGAATTTTTTTATGTATAAAGACGGTAAAAATGTTAAAATTAGAGAATTCAAACGGTGATTGGTCAACTGAACATAAAAAGGATAATAAAATACGGGCAAAAAAATAATAATGTATTTTAATATATATATCATTTTTTTGAAAAATAATCAATTATATAACCTAGGAACCCTTAAATATAAGTATTTAATATTTTAAAATCTTAAGTAATTTATTTTGGAAGTATTGAGCTTGTAAAATAAAATATGAAATCTAAATATTTTAAACTATTATTTGGTAAATTGGTAACAAAAGGAATAAAAATTATGCATGCGATGATCGATTCCAAAATAAAATATGGAAGTTAAGATTAAGCTGCTCTACCAATGGAGCATTTATAACTATTTGCATCAATATTACAGATTATTACCAAAAAAATAATATTATACATGGATAAATTTTGATATTAATATTTAGTTTATACATAACTTTTTCAAAATCCTAAAACATTTTGTACTTAATTTCAAAAATTTGACCGTGCCCCCGAGTCTGTACCTAGCTCCGCCAGAAGTACTAAATACGCATAACTATCCATCAAAGAGTTTTGACATGATGTCAAAACCCAAAACATCCCCATAACTAAGATTTGAAAAAAACCCACAAAATAAATCATAATACGATCTCATTATTGTATTTTCTGGTGCTACGGGTTATGAAAGGTAGCTCTCATTTTTCAAGTTTCACAAACAGAAGGATATTTCTCATGAAACGAAACCTACCAAACTAATGCACTTAAGTCCTGTATTAATCTTTGGATCATTAAAGATCGGTTGCTCACCCTTTGCTCCTGGGCACCTGTGATTCAGAAAAAGAAATTTGATGAGATGGCGAAGGCCCGATTTCGGGTCCAGCTATGGGGAATCAAGGAGGATTGCTGCACCAAACTATTTGGGCAGAAAATGGTGGCTGCAGCGATCGGCCAAGTTTTGGATGCTGGGATCTTCGCGTGCAAGGAGACTGGTGAGCGATTTATTAAAGTGAATGCTGTTATTGACTTCTCCCAGCCTCTCCGATCGCAGATTATGGCTGCAAGTGAGGAAGGCGATAAGTTTTGGGTTAGCTGCAAATATGAATTCCTGCCGAGCTTTTGCTTCCGTTGTGGCCGGATTGGACATGCCCGCCGCGACTGTGCCTTTGATCCACCTCAGGGTCAAGAGCGATTCGGCCCTCACATGTCAACTAAGAAGGTGGGGAGGAAACTCTATGAGGAGGAAGGTGACTCCCCTGTTTTTGGAGGGTCGAGGCGGTCGGTTTGGATCAATCGCCAGCAACGTAATCCTATATCGGTGGACAGCGCTGAACCGACTAGGGAATCTCAGAATCTCCCCCAGTCATCGGCGAGAATGAACCAACCTGCCTCTTCAAAGGCTATGAAGGCAACTGTGTTGATTGATGAGCCGGCTGTGCACCAGGTGTAGGTCTCGGGAAGGGCAACCCAAAAGTTGAGAGGAAGCTCGAGGGGCTTTGTTGTGAACCGCCCCCCCCCAAAGTCCGACTGGGACATGACCGGCCAAACAAATCCGGCAGGAAGGTGTCAGGGACTGTTCCTGACCCCCCGGTCAGCGTTGCGGCTCATTCTCGGCATCGGTCCTCAGCTCGGGTACAATCGGCTCCGCCCTCGAGTGGAGAGACGCCTGCCATGGTCCAAGAGCACGCTCGTCGGCGACGACGACATGGGGGATGTGATTCCGATGGATAACCAGGTTATCTTGGATCCAACCCATCAATTGGAACCCGCTGGGGAGTTGGAGGACGGCGTTGATCAGAAGGAGCCGGAGGAGGTGCAGCCGGTGAGAAGGAGGCTTCGGCGGGCCAAATTCCAGGTGAAGGGCACAAGGCAGGCTGAGGAGGTCCATCCCATGGCAGTGGACGGCCTGGTCTTCTCCCAGCCCAAGCATTTGGGTGGGCCTCCCAAATCTCGTCCAGCCAAAAACCGTGGGGCGGGGAAAGCCTGTCAAGTGAAATCGGCGCTGCAGGAGAGGGTGAATGCCTCGGCCCAACCTAAGGCTGCCGTGGAAGAGATTGCGCCCGCCATTCCTAGCCCCAAACTCTCGGGTGATGATATGGTGGCTGGTCCAGTGGAGGGGGAGGGCTCGGAGGAGTCAGCGTCGGGAGCAGAAGACCAGGACTTTGTGATTAAAAAGCGATCCCCACTCGAGGCCTCGAAAAAACTCTGCCCACCCTCGAAGGGGCGAGTTACCCAAGTGGTGGCTGCTTTTGAGGCGGGTTTGACGATTCCTGATGAAGTGGTGGAACCAGCCTGGTCCGGAGACACAGGAGCTGGAAAGGAGGGTGGTAGCAGTGGCATCAATGTGATGAGTGCAGGAGTGCTGGATGAATATGGGTCTAACTTGCTAAACCCGCCATCGGGGTTGCACAAACGACCAATAGATGCCATCGCACGGGAGGTGGGTACCCCACCAACGCCGAAAAAACAGTTTGTGGAAGTTGCTGATGTCCTTGAGAAGGTGGAGGAAGCCAGCCTGGAGTGGCCCCAGCCAGATAAATGAGATTATTAGCTTGGAATGTGAGGGGCATTGGGCCTTCCCTCACATTCCAAACGGCAGTGGGCATGGTCCTGTCGAATAAACCGGATCTCGTGTTTTTTTCTGAAACACGATCGAGCCGGCGGGTCGTCTCTCATCATATGCGGGGCTTAGGCTTTGATATTTCTCAATGTTATTTTATTGATGCTATTGATGGATCAGGGGGGCTGGTGTTAGCTTGGTCTTCGGAAATTGATATTTCGGTTTTTTATTCTTCCAATTTTTGTATTTGTTCCCAAATTAATGAATGGGATTTTTCTTATATTGTGGTTTGGGTTTATATTAGCTGTTCTGCTCCTATTCGGGCCACCCAATTGGCCCATCTCCAAGCAATCTGTTCTGGTTTTCACCTCCCCTTTGTTATTATTGGCGATGTTAATACTATCCTCAATGCGAGTGAAAAGGATGGTGGAAACTCCTGGAATGCTAATAATTCGACTTGCTTGCGTGATTTTATCAATAACTTGGGGCTTCATGACCCTGGTTTCCAAGGGGATCTTTTCACTTGGACTAATAGGAGAATGGGAAGTGCTGCATTCGTGAATAGTTGGATAGAGCCCTCTGCTCCCAGCACTGGATTGATCGGTTTCCTGATACCTTGGTCAAACACTTCACGGATCAAGGCTCTGATCATAGAGCTCTCCTCCTGTCTGATAAACCTTATAATAGAAATAGCCGCCCTCTCTTCCGTTTTGATGCCCGTTGGGCAGATAATCCTGAGGTGCGGGCTATGGTTACCTATGTATGGAAAGAGGAGATTCAGGGCACCCCTATGTTCCGCCTTTGGGAACGACTCAAGAAGCTTCGTCATCTCCTGTACGATTGGAGCAGAGCAGGTACTACTAATTCTTTGCGGAACATTCGTACCCTTCAGAGCGAAATTGATCGGGTCAAATTGACCCAGCCTATAGACTGGGATACGATCCGGGAGTTGGAGATGGAGTTGAGTAAACAATGGGAGGCGTTGGAAGTCTATTCGCAACAGAAGTCCAGGGTTCACTGGTTGAAGAAAGGGGATAAAAATACGTCCTACTTCCATACGGTGACTCGGGCTCGGCGTAAAAGAAACTTTGTGGCTGGCCTCCGGAATGAGGATAATGACTGGATAACTGATGAAGCTAGGAAAGCAGGTATTGCGACTTCCTTCTATCAAAACTTTTTTTACGACGGAGAATCAGGTGGGGAATATGGCTGAGCGTGTGGCCTCTTTGCCGATAGCTCGTAGTGTTACCCCAGAGATGAATGCCAATCTTACGGCTTCAGTTCTCCCGGCTGAGGTTCGTAAAACGGTATTTGCTATGGGCTCAAAGCAAGCGCCAGGGTCGGATGGCTTCACTGGTAAATTTTTTAAGGCCTTTTGGGATATCGTGGGGGAATCGGTTGTGATGGCAGTTTGCTCCTTCTTTGCTACGAGCCGGATGCTCCGTAGTTTTAACCATACGTGGCTTACACTGATCCCAAAGGTGGATAATGTTGAATCTATGCGGCAGCTGCGTCCAATAAGTTTATGCCAGTTTGTTTATAAAATCATTACGAAGATTATGGCAGAGCGTCTGGCCTGCCTGTTACCGCAAATTGTCTCAGAAGGGCAAAATGCATTCATCAGGGAACGTCAAATTGTTGAGAATATACTGCTTGGACATGAGTTAATGCATTATCTTAAAATCAAGACTCGAGGTAAGAAAGGGTTCATGGCTCTAAAAGTTGACATGGAAAAGGCCTATGATAGAGTCGAGTGGCCCTTTCTCCTTGCGGTTTTGGAAAAGATGGGCTTTAATTCTACCTGACAAGGATGGATTCATGAATGTCTCCGGTCCTCATCTTTTTCGGTTCTCAT